AAAGAGAAGAAAGGATGTCTTTCGTTGGTTTATTTTTTGAGATAGGATCTCACTGGCCTTGAACTCACTTATGTAGCTCAGGCTGGTTTCAAACTCACTGCGATCCTCCAGCCTCAGCCTCCAGAGTGCTGAGATTACGGGTGTGTGCCACCACACCCAGCTGGGATGTCTTATGATATCCAAACATTTGAGAGAAAAGTGCAGGTTTTTGAAAGAGAACCTGAAAATAGGCAGCTGAAATATTTTCAAAATCTAAAAATACATTTAGAAAATTTTACATTTAGAGACAGTCCTACAAGCCATCAGGAACCTCCATTAGATTTTCTAGCATTGTAGCAGCTGCAAAGCAGAATTTTACTGCAAGATTTTTATAGTTCTTTAGATGGAGACCAGCCTGTGTTTTCTTACTTCTCCAGATAAAGTCAAATTTAAAGAACTTCATCTTTCCTGCTTACACTGGTTAGATTTGGGAAATCTGAAGTGGAGCTATTGGAATTTCAAGCAAGGTCTATCTGGAAAAACAAATCCTATGACCTGCATGCAACACTTGAGAAGACAGAATGTAAAGGGATGACAGAGGACAGCACAGCTGGTAGTTCTGAAAAGGAAATCCTTAAAGTGTGGAATTCTCTGCCAAATAATTTCAAGTCAATGAAATAACGTGGGATTGCTTTCTTACTTTGGATCATCGTATGCTTGTGAGCAGCTGCTTTCAGCTCTGAATATATCAAATCTGATACAAGAAACCAGACTAACAGATGACATGAGCGCTGTATGTGATGCTCTCAAACTAATGAAGTACAGTGGCACTTCAGGTCTTGAAGGCAATTCTCTACATGATTCTGGCCACAAACTGACCTGGACAGGACCTGAATCAAATTTCCCCATAAGGTCAACATTGAACCTAATGGTAGAATTTGATTTGGTTCTCGTTCAACTTGGTTTGCACCCAGAGGTGTAGAAAGAATGAAGTTTGTGAACCAAGGTATCAATTTGTACGAGCCACAGTTTGACAAATTATCAGCATGCATACAGCAGCAAAGATCACACTTAATTGTGAAAAGGCAAGCCAAATGCAAACTTTTACTTTTCAATAAAAGGCTGTTTGTATCA